CCCCCCCGCAGGTATTCCTTCGAAAAAACGCCTACGACTTTTTGGAGATGATCCGCTCCCGGCGCATCACCTCGGCCGCGGTTACGCTTCAGAGAGTGGCCCGGGGCTTCGTGAGCAGGCGGGCGTTCTCCTCTGCGATATGGGCCGTGCGGTTCATCCAGAGGGTGTCGAGGGGCACGATCGTGAGTAGCTCTTGCTGACGTGTGTGTACAGCAGTACGCAGCATCGCGTCCACCCCTCTTTGACAATTGGTTGTCGTTGTCGTTGTCTTCACACTAAACAAGCCGCACCGGTTTCGCTCAGTACTTTCAAACATCAATAGAAAACGAGAATGGACGGAAGCGGTGGATCGTGCAGGTGTACCCGCTTTCATGTCACCCCCGAAAAAACGTCGGGCCGAGCGCGATGCTGTGCCATCAAATTTTGCACCGCGACCCTCTCCCTGAAGTATATCCCCGAGCCCCCTGCCATTGCCATGACCCGGAATTTCGCGCACAGTTACCAGCCCTTGCCCTCCACCGCTTTCTCTTTCCTCGTGGAAACCTTTTGCACAACTTGGTTCTTGCTCTCAGGCGCGGCGGCGAGTAGAGCACATGCGCCGGATGCGGGCGGCGCTCCGCACGCAGACGGCCTACCGGCGTCACTTTGCGAGGAAGAAATTCCTGTCCATCAAGGGAGCGGCCCTCGCCCTGCAGTGCGCAACGCGCTGCCGCAAGGCCGCCAGGGTCCACACCGAGCTCAGGTGAGATACATGTCCGATAGGTGTCCGATATAGAGATATTCGCCACTGCTTTACACGCATGTAACGGTTTGTATGCATATTGACATCAATCAGTTGGCGTTTTGGTGGTTAAATGCGGAGGACATGGGTAGGGGGAGGTGCGGCATGTTGTGAGGGCAGCTTTGGTCAGTTCATGTCACTTTCGCTTCGTTCACGATGAAGATGCGGCAACTGTAGCGAGGCAACAAGTAACATTCCCTCCTCGATATTAATGTTGAAGCCTCTCGCAGAACTGGAATGAAGGAGGCCGAATATCAGTCAAAACTTTCTCTGGCCCGCCGCAATCCATCGATGTGCCCCCGCCCCCCCCACTTGTTGCCACACAGGCGCCAACACCGGTCCACTAAAATCCAGAGCTGGTACCGAATGCTCGCCCCTTGGCGCGCCCACCGTAAGCTGCGGTCCGCGACGCTGGCGCTGCAGTGCCGTATGCGGCAGAAGATAGCCTACGGGGAGCTGAGGGGCCTCCGTATCAAGGCGAAGGATGTGGGCAACCTCAAGGGGGAAAACGAGCGCCTAAAGGCAGAGATCCTGGCGCTCAGGCAGGCCGCCGCCGCCGCCTCTAAGGCTGCTGCTCCTGCAAGCGATGAACAAGTGCGTGCCAAAGACTTGGTCATTATTTGTCAGGTGCTTGTCTTTGTCAAGCCACCTCGCCCCGAAGACACTTGCTCGAAAGCCCGGCGCTTTCGCTGTTGTGTGGCGTTGTTTTTTCTTACCGTGGACAGGAATGATACGAGCAATCGGCCTTCGATGCCGTAAACGGCATCTGACCAAAACGTAGGGGGAAGCCTCGACAAGTCTGGGGGGAGGGGTTGAGTGAAGCGGTGGGAACTCGCGCAGTTAGTTCACAACCTGGTTTGGGCATCCAATCACCGACTAAATTTCCCGCCTCCCTTTTGATTTCCCTTCTCAGGTGTCGTCGTCGTCTAACGGGAAAGAGGTGGACAGCTTGAGGAGAGAGGTGGTGACGCTAAGGGCCAGGGTAGCAGAGCTCGAACTGCAGTTGGCGGAAGGAGTGGTCGCTAAGAGCAGAGTGCCTGTGAACGCTGCGTTGCCGCCGCCGCAGCAGCAGCAGCAGCAGCAGCAGCAGCAGCGGCCGTTGCGAACTGCGAAGTCATATCCGGTGGCACGGACGGCAGGCGAGTAGAGATGTGAAGGTGTTGGTTTATTTACTTGTGGTGATTGTATGTGTCGCAGTGGTTGCGATGCTTGTTGCTGCTTCTGCTGTGGGTGGTTTGCGGTTCTGCCACCATTGATTGGTCGGTGTTGTCGTTTTGGTTGCGGTTGTTTCTGTCGCCTGCTTTTATCGTTTGTTGGTTGCGATGGCGGTGTGATGGCGGTGGTAGCGTTGTTCCCTAACCGCGACACTTTTTGACAGGTCTCGAGAGCTGCCACATGCCATGACCCCCGAACATACTGCCGATGGCAATGACGCCTCCGCAACAAGGTCAAGTGTCCCGAGAAACTTTCCTAGTCCCCCCCCCCCCCCCCCNCCCCCCCCCCCCCCACATCTCCCAAGTCTCATGCCATACCGCATGAACTCCCCCTCGCTCGTATTCTGATTTACGAGGCTCTTCGACGACAAGTGGAACGCCTAAGTTGACCTATCAGCGAACTGCGTGCCACAAATGTTGTTCTCTCTCTTATGCTACTGCTTCTCATGCTGCTGCTTCTTATGCTGCTGCTGCTGCTGCTGCCGCCTTGTGTTGCTGCTGCTTATGCTGTTGCCGCTGCTGCTGCTATCTTGTTTGTTGTTTCTCGCGACGTGTGACATGATCCCGTGTGTCTCCCGCGTCAAATCAGGAAACTCGTTGTCTAGAGTAGACGAGACCGAGAGCCTCCCCCGCCGACAGCGAGCGCGGTTCTCTTCAGCCTCTGCGGTAGACAACAGCAACGAGAAGAGCGACGGCAGCAGCAGGCACCAGACGGGAGTAACTCTCTCCTTCCTGTGCGAGATGGGTGTGGCGATCAGGGACCACACGAGCATGTTCCGACACTTTTAGCCGCCGCCGCCGCCGCCGTCGCTAGGAAGAGCTGGTGGCGGCGGCGGCGGGAGGGGGAACAACAGCTCGTACTGCTGCTGTAGGAGCAGCAATGGGGGAGGAGGATGAGGGAAGCCTCGTCATGTTTGTCGTACAATACATGTTTGTATATTGTAGAGGGGGCTGTTGTTGGCGGAGGGTGATTCCAACTGGTCCCAGCAGCAGCAGGAGCAGCAGCAGCAGCAGCAGCAGCAGGGTGACGATCGGCGACCGTAGGGGCTGCGGCGGCGCCTGGCGGGCGTTTCCCGCTGACAAGGGAGGCGTACATCTATCGAGGAGGTCTTGTTATCATGCGCTAGTGGCCCTTCCGTGATGCACGCCGATGATGGAGCACTCCCTATGGTGCCGTCGCTTCTTATGGACACGGTGAGTCGGCTCGGACCGCCTTCGTGAGAAATTATATATTTTTTGAGGAAATAGAATAGGGAGGGGGGCACGCATAACGTATCCCTATCCCTACCCCAACTTCCCCGATCGCATGCTTCATCCAACATGTTTCCCTAAACGAAAGAGCCGGCGAAGGTCGGTTCGATGCACAACCTTACCTAACTGCCAGGTCATTGATAGTGTAGGAGTGCGTGTGTGTCGTCCTTGTTTGCATCGGCGCGCTAACCGGCTGACCAATGAAAAAACGTCAGCCTCTGTGCGACTACAATCGGAAAATGCGCATATAGGCCACGATCTCTGGGCCCCCGTGTGAGTTGTCGTCCCATGATGTTGTTTGAAAGGCGCCAATACACACAAAACGTCCTTTCGCCAATACACACTAAAACCGCTGAAACCCTGACCAAGCAGTGAGCAATGCGATGACTATTATTACCAACACACAAGGCACGCTTCCTCAGGCAACAGCAAGGAAGGCACTGTCTTGTTGGCTTGAGATGCGCAAGTCGTTGCTTGACCCCTTTGGGTCTAGATCTTTTTTCGTTTCCAAGAAAGATATAGGGAGGAGGAGAGAATGCGGGAGAGAGACACAAGTACAGCAGAAAGAGACGTGTGTACTTCTGTAGACGGAACAGCTATCTCCACCCATAGGCCATAAGGGCTGCCCGCGACAGGACGGTGGGCACATACAGGGTCACAGAAGGGCTGATGCGTGGTAGCGGTGCGGCCGGTAGGGCAGGTCAGGCTTGTAGACCTCGAAAAGATCAGTCGTCAACCCGCCTAAACTGCTCTATTTTCAGAATATTCAAATGATCAATGAAAATGATCAGTGAGAGGGCTTGTAGACCCATAGCTGGTTCTTGTACTTCTGTACTTCTCTGTCCCCTCCCCAATGTGAGCACTGCCGGCTCACTACAGCTCCTGTGATTTTCCCACAATCCCCACAAGCACGCAGGCACACCACAGCACACACGTATTTGCATCAGTGGGCTCTCTAGGTTCAGGCGAGGGTATGTGTAGGGCTATGATAGTGTATGTTTTACTACTGTATGTTGGACTCGTCTATACTGCTGCTGTATTGTATAATATAGTATAGGTGCTGACACGATGACTGCTGGATCTTGGGAGTGTGCGATTTTCATATTTGGAGGATACGCAGCATACCACAATCATATCCTGGCCTGGTTGGGCTTGAAGTACCCCTTTTCGCTGTCATCCTGTCTTTCCTTGAGTGGCTTCCTAGATTCGGGCGAGGGCATGTATGTGGCGCTATTGATGTGTGCCTCTGTGAAAGGATATGGCGAGATGTTCATGGTGGCATTTGCAGTTGGAGCAGTGTGCATTTTTCGGCCGTTCCAGGGACCTGATATTACCCGCTGGCACTGCTGTGACGTCTTTGCATTAGTCACCGGGTAGTGCGGTCGATGCGAATAATAAAGACACACGTACCTATTGACTTGCCAACACCTGGCGTGGAGGGAAAAAGGGCAAAAACTCCATGGCATGCCACAACACCATCGTTTGCAAGTGATCAATCAATTATCAGTCAGGACGCCGGTAGACCCAAAAGGGTTAAAACGAAAACGCATTGCTGCGGTGGCACCTAGCAGGTGGACCGGGAGAACCAAGACCGTCGTGCATAGACCCTGGGACGCCGGAGACGACTGCCGAGGAGATGGCGAAATAGTGCTGCCGATGCTGCTGTGTCCGGTCGACTGCGGATGGAACATCGGGTGCTACATCAAAGGAGATGGCGAAAAACTGCTGATGATACTGCTTTGTCCGATTGGCTTCGAGAGGACCATCGGGGAGGGGAGGGGGGGCACCCACACCGACGCCGTGACGAGGTCGGGGGTTCCACAGATTGGCTTCGAGAGGAACATCGGGGAGGGGACGGGGGACACCCACACCGACGCCGTGACGAGGTCGGGGGTTTCCACAGCGTGTAGGCGAGTGCGAAATGACGTGGTAGCGGTTGTTTCCGCCGGCGGTGTGAATCTAATCGTAAGGTATCAAAGGCTATCCCCATGAGGGACAGCAAAGAGACATGAGGTTGATAATATGCGCGTGAGCTACATTATTGACCAGTCTTACTCTGCGTGGGGGGTACGTAGGTCGTGACGGACGTAAGCTACAAGGGACGGCAACGCCATCTGAGAACTGGACCGAGGGCGTCCACAAAGAACGAAGGAATGGTGCTGGCGAAAAAGTAGGAGGATGGTGGTGACATGCTCCCTGATGAGCCTTTGGGTTGGTCAGGTTATGCCTTTCGAAGCGAGGCGCGCATGGTGACTGTTTCGCAGACGGCGTGTGGTCCGTGCCGAGATGCGTTCCTTGGGAGGGGGTTCTATCGCATAGGGTTTCGTGTGGTTTTGTTGAATCCTACAGTATTTGGTTTTGCTTTTTTTGTATGGGATGCACTGTGGTGATGCTTTAAAACCTGGAAGCCTCTGTATTTGCGGGTTTTTGACTGATACTAAACGTACCATGCAATATCCCCTAGACCATGCTGAATGGAGAACACGAAAACGAGGGGGGTTGGGGGGGCTAGGTTTTTCTTCCTGTATATTGATGCGTGCGCCCCTTGGTGACTTTCGTACCGTAGACGACATGACGGAAGACAGTAAACCCTGGACCGATTTTCAGAGCTCGATTACTCCGCAGTCGAAAGAGTGGCGGCGCCGAAAATGCCGGCGTTGCAACCGTCTCGTCGAGATATTTCCGAAGACGTACTATCATTTTTGATTTTGGGACCCTCTTCGTGGAGTAGTCTTGCGTTGAAAATCCGTCTGGGGGGGGTGTGGTATCTGGCGTCATGTCACATACGGTAGCGCCCCAACGTGAGACCACCAGAAATGTTCCTCATTGGAGCGGAGGTGGCAGCGTTTCCCCCGCTCCCCTCGATTTTTCGTTTTGGACGACGCCTTGTGGAAAGGGTTGTGGTTAATGGATCATTCCTCGCGTGATGGGTTGTTGGATCATCCCCCCCCCATCTGCTATCCGTGACATGCTAAGTGCAATCCCTTGATGACCACCGCCGACGGTGAGGGAGAAGAAGCATTATTTAGCATTTGTAGGTAGGTAGGGCTACCGGAGTGTAGGATATTCCGAAAAGGTTGCGCCGCTCGCGCGTTTCCTGTTGTTGTTGGAGTGAGAACAACTCGTCTCAAGCGGGGTGTCGCACGGTCTCGTTATGCCTCATGCGGTGGCGCTGCGTCTTGCTTGGGTGGCACTGTCATCGCTGTCTCGAACAAGTACAGTACGTCCGATTGTTTTAGCCCAACGGCCCGGCCGATATGGTGGCGATTAGGTGTGTGTTTGAAGAACCCCTGTAGTCTATCTGGTCAAGTCATTTTTGTCGTTGAACTATGGGGAGGGCGCTGATCCTCAGGGGACAGGATACACCGATTATTCCGTCCCCCGCGGGTGTGTTTTTAGCTGCATACGCGCCGCAGGACACGGAACGTTTGTTTGTAAGCGCAAAGAAGGTGCGCGCCTGCATGATGTTGTAAGCCCTGGTCTGAGTCTCTCTCTCTCTCCCCCCCCTCCCCCCGTACGGTACACGCTGTCTTTTTTATTTTTGTTGATTGGTAACGAAATTATTTGGGTCTCTTCGGTCGGTCGGATGTTTTCTTCGAACTATATTCGAGAGTCTGAAGGGAGGTTTTGGTTAATGGGTTGTCGGTTGGGAATGCAATAAACGACAATGGCTTGGGGTCAGCGCCGGGCATTTGACAGTGTAACGGTTGTCCAAGCGGCCGTCTTGATCCCGTCCTCCCCCTTGTTGTTGTCTTCTCTGCTGTGGTGTCTAGAAGACAGTAGGAACGGTGTGGGTGTTTTTTTCTGCCCCTACTGCAGTAAGTAGTGCTGTGAATTTTGTAACACAAGATCGGAGCTAGAAATGAACGCGAAGGGGCGCGCCAGGGTAGAGTGGATTATTGCGCGTAACACCTGCACTACTGATGTGCGGGATCTCCAACTGCTAGCTAGCTGTGGTGGGAGCGCAGAAATCGGCGAGGAAAGTGCAGCCTGACTTTCTCTCTTGTGGCCTTTTGCCAGACGTACGCTTTTCATGTGCACAGAGAGGAAGCGTGCAGGGAGGGTTAGATAATGGCTGGGTTGTTTGAAGCGGTGATTTGGAAGTCGTTGTATCTTAAACGCTGGTGTGTTTAGACCCCGTTAAAAATGTTTTATGCTGCATGTGTTGATGTTTGTTCGGATACGGATGGGAACCGTTGGGGGGAGTGGGTGGGTGCGTGTTTGCGAGGTGAAAATCAAGGGACTTTCACAGCAATGTGTGACTAGAGCATCTTGACCCTCATTTCTTCCTGATGGCCTGCGAATACAGCAGGAGGAGAAACACAGTCCAATGTGGCATCGTCATCCCCACATCATTCTACTGCACTCACGTGAATATATCGGCGTACCTGTTGATCTCTTTGTATGATTACTGCGTTCAGTTTACGCGCACGGAGTCGAACAGACCACACGCTGGAGGTTATCCCCGACATGTCGAGTGGATCACTCAATTATTCAAACACGCGGACGGCCCCCAAGTCACATGCATCGAAAACCTCGCTCACGGTGAAATTCATGTGAGTGGGCGAAGCTGAGCCTGGTGACTGAGAGAGGGTGGGGAGAGAGAGAGAGAGAGAGAGAGAGAGAGAGAGAGAGAGAGTTGTTGTTGTTCAACCGTTCCTCCGCTGGAACGGACGTTTGTCACTGTTGTCCCGATGGTTTGGACGTGGTGTGTGTTTTCGCATGGTGGAGATGCACATCTCTTACTACGTCGTCGTCCGCATCGTGAATTCGCTTTGCTTCCTCATGTCGCGGCGGCTTGTATTGGTTGACCTGTACTCTGCTACTGCCCCCACCCACTCTGCCCTTCGAGCTTGTAAGGTAAACTTCCGGTGCAGATTGTATATCAACCAATACAATTAGACAAAAGCAACCGTAGGCAGTGTCTGACCCAACACCCCACCNGGGGGGGGGGTTCACAGCGTTGGGCGCGCGTTCTTTCTTTTTTCGATTTTTGTAGAAGGGAGGGGGGGGGGGTACCTCACTATGGTGCCTCTTCCCTTTTTTGTACGACGGCTATCTCTGACTGCCGGTGGAGCCACCAGGGCGGATGAAGGGGTAGGGGGGGACATCGTGGTGACTCCATCACGGTGCCTCTTTCTTCCTTTTTTGTTCGCGACCTCTACATGGGCGTAGCACTTCCACTTCCCGCCCACGACAAACGTGTATATGTGTAGTGAGGCGCGTGGCCGTGGTTGGTTGGGATTTTTGTTTTTTTGGCGTATGGACGGCTGTCACCGAGACTCTCGGTAGCATGACAGAAAAATACGCCTTACCTCCGGCATGGACTTGAGTGCCTGCAAGCTCTTGATTGGATAGCAATGGGCAAAGCTCTACGACGGGGGGCCACTCATTGACAGCGTGCAAAACAAAGCGTTTTCTTCTTCAAAATGCGGCGCTCGTTTCGGATGTCGCCTCTCACCGGCGGTGAGCGTCAGGACAGAAAGGCAACCCTTACGTGACTGAGTTGATCTGACTTTTGCTTTCGCCTCGTCCTCGACAACTGGCTTTTGAAAGACGAATGCTCCAAGAACCTTTCTTACATACATGAGTGTGCACCACGTGCACACAATCGCGAAGGTACACGCACACACACCAGATCACGCCGGCAACATGATACAGCAACGAGGAGCGTCCACGTGTGTTTGCGATATGCTTCTGTAGCACGGAGAGTTCATGCGTTCGCCTCGGACTCTTGCCCGCCGGGATGATGAAGCTTTCATCCCGATGTCTGTCGAGGGTAGTCAAGGTGGTGGCGAGAACCTTTTGAAAAATTTGAAGAGGCGTTGTTCTCTCGAATGCCGGGAGACTCAAATTTGGCTTGGTTCGGGTTATGTCAACGATTAGTTGAAGAGCTCGGAGTCTCTTGTTGGCAAGGCAAGGCAGAGGGGGACAAATGCTTCTGTGTCCCGGAAGACTAGCAGCTCAAGAGGGTAGTATTCAAACGTCGGCGGGGGACATACACAGCCCGATCCCTGCCTCGAAGTCCCGGTTGCTGTGGAGAACACCTTCATAAAGGTTGAAACTCGTCCTCCGAGGACGAAACCCTCTTTTCCACAATGGCGTCGACGAAGAGATGTCAGGTTTCTGCTTTTGGTTGCAAAAGACACGGGTCCAAAACCCGCTGCTCACCTAATTTTCTTCCGGAGTACGGAAAAAGAAAAACGGTGGGTGGGCCAAGAAACGATGCACTGTCTATCGAACTCGAAACTTCTGGCAATGCGTGGCGGAAGTGGTGTACCCGCACACACGCACAGAAGATTGTTGGAAAAAAGGTGGTTCTACTCGCCGCCAGCCGGTCGGGTTCCGGTTACCCCAAGAAGACTTCTCTTGCCTAGCAAACAAGAAGAAGCCTCGAAAAAGGGGGGGGGAATGTGGAGAACACCTTCATAAAGGTTGAAACTCCCCAAACGTCTGTCGAGGACGAAACCCTCTTTTCCACACTGCCCCTTTTTACAACGAAATCCTCATCAGCCAAAAAAAGGCTTACCTTGAAGCCCCAACCTACGTCGTTGTACCCCTCCTCAACGCGGTCAACAGCTTGTTTGTGTTTGTGTTGCGAGCAGCTGCGACAGAGGCGGAAGAGAGAAGGTTGACTCCGGTACCCAAGCTNAGAAGGTTGACTCCGGTACAAGAATATTTTCTAGGTAACCTTGAAAGCCCTGGTAGCGTCCACCCTACCGCTCATCAACCCGCCCCACGTGTTCGCGGGCAGCTTTGCCAGATGCGAGGTGAAAGTTGACTCAAACATCGTCTGTCTCACAACGGCCTTCATTCGATTGATCGAGTGCAAGAGGTGTACTCAGCGCCAAAAGAGACACACAGGGAGAGCACAAATGTACCTCTTCTGGCCATGGTGTACCATTACGTATCCCGCCGAACCGTACCTACTATTCACGTCTTCGAGAACGTTAAATGTACCTATACACAGATCCTACCTACCACCTGTCGTGTAGTCTAGCCCTGGAAAAATGGTAGTTCCTACACGAGGGAACCCAACAATATCCTCAATCCTTGGTCGCGGCTTCTACTCCGACACCAAGCTGGGTCCAACCCTTCACCAGTCTTCGAATGCCGGGAGACTCAAATTTGGCTTGGTTCGGGTTATGTCAACGAACGGCAACAGCTTGACCCGCCAGTACTTTTCTCGTGGTTGACGGATAGACTAGTTGAAGAGCTCGGAGTCTCTTGTTGGCAAGGCAAGGCAGAGGGGGACAAATGCTTCTGTGTCCCGGAAGACTAGCAGCTCAAGAGGGGAATATTCAAACGTCGGCGGGGGACTTACACAGCCCGATCCCTGCTTCCAAGCCCCGGTTGCCTCGTTTTACAACGAAATCCTCATCAGCCAAAAAAAGACTTACCTTGAAGCCCCAACCTACGTCGTTCTACCCCTCCTCAACGCGGTCAACAGCTTGTTTGTGTTTGTGTTGCGAGCAGCTGCGACAGAGGCGGAAGAGAGAAGGTTGACTCCGGTACAAGAATATTTTCTAGGTAACCTTGAAAGCCCTGGTAGCGTCCACCCTACCGCTCATCAACCCGCCCCACGTGTTCGCGGGCAGCTTTGCCAGATGAGAGGTGAAAGTTGACTCAAACACCGTCTGTCTCACAACGGCCTTCATTCGATTGATCGAGTGCAAGAGGTGTACTCAGCGCCAAAAGAGACACACAGGGAGAGCATAGATGTACCTCTTCTGGCCATGGTGTACCATCACGTATCCCGCCGACGGTACCTACTATTCACGTCTTCGAGAACGTTTAATGTACCTACTATCTATACACAGATCCTACCTACTACCTGTCGTGTAGTCTAGCCCTGGAAGATGGTAGTTCCTACACGAGGGAACCCAACAATACCCTCAATCCTTGGTCGCGGCTTCTACTCCGACACCAAGCTGGGTCCAACCCTTCACCAGTCAAATTTTGCTCCGCAGAGCTGCCCCCGGCTGCTTCCTGTCAACGACGGCGGCATCATAATCGTCGGCCCCCAACCAACGGGCGATAGAGGAGCGGTAGCTGCTCACTGCCGTTGCCCGGACCGTTGGCACAAAATTCACCAGACAAACTGTCAAGTAAAGCCAGCCCCTGCCTGGGGTTCAAAGCCATTTAAAATATATCCTCACGAGCACCAACCGAAGGAAATCAACTCCATTATCCACCACCAGTCAGTACAAAAGCACCTAGTCATGGCAAAGCCTAGCACCCCGGACAAGGGGGTTACTTCTCACCAACAACAAAAAATGAAGCCAAAAAACAAACATGGAAAATGATGAAAACACAAGACCGTAGTGTGCTTGGACCGGCGGTTTCACCATGGAACAGAGAGAAGGAGGCGGTCTATTTCCACCAACTACCAACTATGTCTTGCAACCAACACAACCACCAGAGGTGTTTACGCCGCAAACAAATAATACCAAACCCGGGCGCATGCAAGGAAAGCGAGGAATCCATAATATACACGTTGTGGCACAAGCGGTTTTTCATTGGCCCAACAACAAACAATCGTACTTCCTCGAACCCGCCCGAAGTGTTTCATGTCTCGACCAATCGCTGAAAGCAACTGCGTGCCACCGTTGGTATTGTGATATTTTTGTTTTCGACCCATCACAGATAAAGGCTAGATCCAAAGATCTCCGCGGACAATTTTTCACCAATTTGTTCCCATGACGTTACCCACTGGGGGCGCCCGATCGAGATCTCCCAAGCGACGTTATCCTCTCCCAAAAAAACCGTCCGCGTGAAAAAAATCAGTCGCCATTCAAGGATCGCTGGTCGTTGTATGTTACGCTATGTTATTTTCTGTTATGAAGTGTTAAGTAATGTTTGTCTTACCGATGACCAATCAACAAACCAAGACAAATTATCCCGTCGCCAAACACTCGCATTCTGCAAACGAGGGTCGGTGGGATATTACTGCAGTCCATAGATGCATGCGCGTTTGTAACAACGGCATCGTCATGCACAAATCGGTACCAAGCCCGCAACAAGGATGGATGTGGGGCCGTCGCCCGTCATCGCAGATACAGCACAGCCCAAGAGAGGGTTTCATACCACAACAGAGAAGAGTCTCCGTATGATCCCCACATTCGACTGCATGCGTGCCTCTACTCCTGGGTATTGCGTCCCCGGGGCCAGCTCATCACATGGCACACGTTAGCTCAAGACCATGCAACAAACACGAATGAATATGCCGAATGAATGTCGCAACCGCATACAGTATCCCGCAAGGGGGTCCAAAAACAAATCAGTCAGCCACAACATACAGGACAGGCAAAAACCACTGCGACGCGCACCCATCACACACAGCTCGAAAAAACAAAGACCCCGGAAAAAATGGTACCAGATATCACCACCGAGTACACGCAAAAAACAAAAAGTGATGCTTCCGTTAGCTCGGCTACAGCGCGAGTTCTCACGAACCGTCTCACAAACAACGTCTACTCCGGCTGTTGTTAATTTTTAGTGGCAACCACTTCGTAGTGTCAACTTTCGGTTGCAGTCGCGGTGCCCCCGTCCCCTCGCTCACCGTCGCAGCTAAAGTCGGCGGGGGCGACGGCGGGAAACCGTCGAGTATCGCGGCGGCGGTAGCGGTAGTGGAAGTGCGGGCGGCGGCCTTCCCAGGGTGCGAGCGCCACACGGCGGATACGCCCTCGCTGGAGCTGGCGGCCAGCGCCGGCCGCCTCGCGGGGGGCGGGGAATCCACGCACCCGCCGGACAAGCTATGCAGCCGCTCGAGCTTGCTGGCCGTCGTGTCTATTTCGTCCTCCGTGCGCAGCGCCGCTCTTCCCCTGCCGTACACGACGGAAGCGGGGACATTCGAAGACTCGGCGTCGGACGCATTGCCCCCGCCAGGGCGGAGACGACGGCGGGCGGCGCGGGGGCCGCGGCCGCCACCGCTACCCCGCCGCGAGGTCTGCTCGGGAGACAGGGAAGCAGCAGACGGCCGGTGTCTGCGTCTGCCTTGGCGGCGGCGGCCTGCCGCCGGTCGCGCGGCGGCTCTCAGTGGGCTCTCCGCAACGCTGCAAAGCGGCGCATTGGTGGTACCGCCGCCACCGGCTGCGAAGGAGGACAGGAAGGAGTCATCGATGCTCGACAGGCCGACGCTGCTGGAGCTGAGGGCTCTCCCATGCCTTCTGCGGTGGGGAAGCTCGAAGGCTCGCGCGATGCGGCTGGTCTTGCCGCTGGTACTGTAGACGCTCTCCAGCTCCACGGAGTCCTCCATAACGACATCATCGTCGCCGTCTTTGTCGGCGGAGGAACCGCCGCCGCTTCGGCAAGAATTTTTCTTGTAACGGCGCGCCCTGGCTCGCTTTGGCCTACAGAAAACAAGGCGAAAATAACACAGGCAAAAAACACAACAGAATGACAAGAGGTTGGTGTGTTCTGTTGTGGCGGCGCCCCTTGGCTCGCCTTGGCCTGCAGAAACCAGGCGAAACAAAACATAACAGATGTACCGGGCAACCCCCGAGCCCGGTTCTCGGAGTGCACACCATGTGACGGAGAGATACGCCAAAGGAATAGGGTGGATCCCGTGACTAGTTGAGTTGTAGAAATGAAGATCTTACTACACCTTGGAGAGCGGCCTTGTTCTTATCAAGATGTGATGGGGTAGGGGCCAGGGTGACCACATGTTGACGCCTTGGCCTTCATTCTTCCTATTTAGCGGTTGTCTGGCCCACCGAGAGCCATACCAACAAAGACGCTTCCTCTAACATTAAACAAGACCTCTAGGCGACTGAAGACCAGCAACAACAAACGGCCCATGCATCGCAAGCCAAAACACCACGTCAGAGGACCCTGGGAGAGCTCGCCTCTCCACGTCTTCCCAGCCCACCGAAGAGCCGCGTTCCGCTCGATCGTCACCGCCAGCTTCGCCCACGCGGTCGTGCTTCCACATCGCGACGCCGTCGCCGCCGCCGCCGGCCTCCGCCGCTTCTTCTTGCTTCTCCCCCCACCCACCGGAGTTCTTCTGCGCCGAAAACACTGGGGACCCAATGCTGTCGCCGTCCCCG